ATAATATAACAAAACAAGGCAGAATATTTTTAGTACAATCAAAGTCAATGTAGGTTTGAATATGTCAGTGTGGTGTTATTCTTGGTCAAGATGAATTTGTACGACCTGCCACTGCATTAACTTGTGCCGTAGAAGGTGGATAAAAATTGTATGTAGTTGTATCATGAAGTGCTAGGGTTGAAATTTTGTGTTTTTAAATTGTATGGAAAATAAATAAGGTCAAATTTTCGGTTGATTGGATAAACAGTGCAGTAGGCTGTTGCTTGTTATCCGGCGAAACGGCTAATGTTAATAAATAACTGTAACTTTTTGATAACGGTTGTAGTAGTTCTCCACATTTCAGCTCCGTGTGATAGAACTGTCTTGACGTTCGTATTGAAGATTGTGATTTTGGTGTTGGTTGACGGTTGTTTTGAGTCTAACATGTTCTACAACTATAGGAATGTGGACCTTGCTTTTCCAATCCATGCCTTCATATCTGCATCAGATCCTCCTTGTTTATCAATCATGCTGTCAAGAAAAGTGAAAGTTTTCACCTCTTCCAGAACTTCTCCATCAAGTGAGATTCAGTCGGTGTCTTGTGTTGCATTTGAGGATCATGCTTTTTCCCTTGTGTACGTTGAAGCCCATTGCTGCAGAGGTTGCTGCTAAAATGGCGAACTTCACTTGTATTTGTTAATGTGTATGAGACAGAAGAGCTGGATCATCTGTGATGTCCAAATTGTCTGAATGTATCCGTACCTTCCCTCAGATTTGGAAGTCTTCATAATCCAGTCAACCACCAGAAGAAAGAGAGAGGGGGAAAGTAGACAGCTATGTCTGACTCAGGTCCTCATTCGGAATGCGTCTGTCAACTGTACTACTACACACACCATTTTGTAGTAAAGTCAGTTGTATGAATTGCGAATAATGTTGACGATCTTCTCAGGTACACCATATTGTCGAAGGAGGTTCCACAAGGTTCTCCTATCCACAATGTCAAACGCTTTCTCAATGTCAAGAAAGTTGACGTGTCGTGACGAATTCCACTCAACAATGATTAGTGATGTCGTGATTTGATCTATGCACGACCGATACTCATGAAATACAGCCTGTTGATACCGAAATTGAGCGTCTACTAAATCCTTCATCCGGTTCAACAACACTTTGCTTAAAACGTCCCCCAGTATAGATAGTAGTGTGATGTCTCTTAGTGGTTGGCTTGCCTTCTTTTTCCTTGACCGGTCTCTCTAGTTTACAAGATTTCTCTGCCAGTTATTTCGTTGCACCATATAGTCGTCTCATATTTCCTTCTCTGGCAACCTTCTCCGCCGTCGGTGTTAGGTCTCTCATGTATTTCTGCTTGTCGGCTCGGATACTCCTCTTCATTGTCATGTTTACTTGTTTGTATTCAGCGTGTTCCTTTAATTTCTCTTTCATGTTCAGCTGTTGTTAATTGCTGTCTTCTTCTTCCTTTCTTGAATCTTGTTTAGGTTTTCAATAGAGATCCATGGCTTATGATGATACTTCTCGCGCCACAGCACCTCCTGACACGTTGAAGTTAGTGCTTCTTTGATCCCTTTCCTGTTGTCCTCCATAAGAGTTTCTTCTTCTTTCAGTAGATCTTGTAAGGCTTGGAACCTGTCACTGAGAGCTAACTTGAATTCGTAAAGTTTGTCAGTATCTCGTAGAAAGGCTGTATTGAAACTTTGTAATGCTGTTTGTTCAGTTGTTCAGTGCTTCTTAAGCTCCAGTTTCATCTTTGAAACCACTAGGTTGTGATCTGAAGTTATGTCAGTTCCTCTCTCGGTCCTCCCGCCTTCCATTGACCTTCTGAATTTACTAGTAATACAAATATGATCAATCTGGTTCTCTGTGATGTGGTCGAATGAGACCTATGTAGCCTTGTGTATGTGTTTATGTGGGAATATAGTTCCACCTACAACCATTTTGCTGAATGTACATAAATTTGCGAATCTCTCGCAATTCTCGTTCCTTTCTCTCAGTTAGTCCATCATTTCGTCTCATTATATCTTGTTGTACATTTCGACTTTCATATTTAGGTATCCTATGAGGATGGTCAGGTTCTCTTCTGGGCACTTCTCTGTGATCGACTGCAGCCTCTCGTAAAACTGATGTTTATCCTCGTCACTGCTATCAATGGTGGGTTCATAGCATATGATAATATTCATTTCGGTTCCCTCCTTCTTTGTTTTGATGAATCATTTGACGATTGCGGATTCATGATATTCGCATTTTATGGGTGTTTATAGTTCTTCTTTGAACAGCACCAATATATATATGGTTTATTGAAATGTTTCTTTGTTGTTTGCATCTGTTTTTGAAATATATATAATCTCAATATTGACGTGTGATAAATCGTACAACGCTTTGCTGCTAAACTGTATTAATGGAATGAAATCATGCTATTTTGAATGTAATTCATGCTGACAGTAGGAGGTATTGTCAGTTATATTTACATATACAGGATGTGACTAAGAAAGCGTACTTACTTGCTCCAGTAAATTCTGGTACATTGACGTCAGCAAATGCTTGAGAGCGTACACTTTGTAAACTCATTATAATATTCCATTTGTCGTTATGTGATTTAATGTAATTATCATTCGAATTAACTACTGTACTATTTTCTGTATCAAAAACAAATTGAGTCTCTGAAACACATTCATAATAATCACCAACTCTAGCTTGTAAACGCTTTTCAGCTAAACTATGTACAATAAATTCCTCAGTATCTAGAAATAAAAATAAAAATAAATAGGATCCGAAAATTAAAAAAGTTATATTAAAATATTTTTGAACTCTATATACAGAACAAATGAAAGAAACACAAACACAAAGTGTAGTGTGACAAATATAAATATAGAGAAATCCATCCCAATCACTTAAATAATTTCCCTTATATCATTTTTATATTGAGTTTTCGAATCTTACCATTGGTGTTTGGGACTGCAATTAATCAGTCTCTTATTGGCATATGTGCATCTTGTGAGGATTGCCTCGATATCGCCCTAAGTCATGAGCATATATATAAACTAAACCACCCTATTGCACAAGTTATGTGTGCCCAGTAGCTAAGTGGACGACGTGATGGCTTGCGAAGGGAATGGCGCTGGGTCCGAGTTCCGGAGTGAACAGCAACTCTGGGATGCAGGTAAATCCACATGACGAGTCATGAATAGGATGAAACGCGCATCCAAGATTCCACTGCTAGCCACTATCAGTCTTTGCTTAGTATCCCTACTATATCCTAGTGAGAATCAAATTACACGTAACTTCTGAGGACTGATAATAGACTAATATTATATATATATATTCTTATTGTATAACTATTCAGTAACTATTATATATATTCCTCATATTATAAGCTTCATTTTGACCTACAGATTAATATTATTTTACGACTTACTATTCTTAAATTATGCTCACTTTATTAATTACAGTCTCCCACGTCCACAGTCACCTCTTGGTCAGATCTTTCATAAATGTTATTTCCTATTTTATGATATTATGTGATCTATTTGGCTGATATATAAATCAAGTATGTTTGAAATAAATGATTCCCATAATGAAAACTGTTGTTAGCGTTCTCGACTCAACTGGAGGTGATAGGAGTACAAAGGATCAATAAGAATGCTGGGTTGCTGATACAGGTCGAAAGTCATTGGTTTGGCACAGTACTAGGATTGTATAAGTTGGATTTTGATTGGCAAATAAATCATGTGATAATTGACTGGGCTTAAAAACACAACAATCCCCTTATGGTCTTTAAGGTTTGATTATCTGACAGTAAACAACGTTTTAATTTCCGAGTTTTTAGTCTCTCAAATGCAGTAAATTCCATTTGAGATACTAATAAATCCAATATTCGTCTTTTAAATACATGGAATTTACCTCACAATAGTTCTAGACAATGTTTCCTACTGCCCTATAACTGCAAAAACCACACCCATGTCACTAATAGCTGTAGTAAGCTAACTATACTGACGTATAAAGTTTTTTTAATTTAAATGCTTTGTTGATGCCTAGTTTTGGCCACTGTAATAAAATAACCGTGGATTTACAACTCAATAGTCAGCTAACGAAGTTATTTAAAACAAGTATTTGCTCAAATGTTCAGCGTTCATTAAAACAGGCTGTTGTTTGATAAAACGTCAAATTCTTTTAGACACCGAGTGACATAAATCAATCTTTCGTTGAACTATAAAGTATCCCTATCTTCAGATTAAAGAATAAAAATGAATTTTAAGGAAAAGTAATCAATCTTGCATAAGTTTTTTGCTCGAAAAAAAATATTTAAAGCCAATTAGTTTGGAATATATAAAATATAAGTATAATTTACTTCCTAAACATGTTTATTTCAGATAAACGTTAAGAAAAAAGCATCGATTTCATAAGCCTTTGTTAACAAAGTATTTCAATGCGTTAAAACAAGCTACAAAATTACATTGCCAACTTTGCACTACTTTGTATTAACCACCTTCACAAAAATAATAAACGCGACGATTGAGGTAAAATTAAAGATAGAAATATGGTTTTCAACTTATTATTATAAATAAACAACTCATTGATCCATAATTAAGGTTATATTCACGTCAATTTGTAAGCGCTAAGATCCTAGGAGTATGTTATTTAAAATATTACTCATCAATCGAAAATATTCTTCAATCTCATTTCCAAACGGTAGGAAAACTGAGAAAGACAGAAAGTAACAAGTCAAGAAACGATACATTTTCAATTAAGTGAACTACTACAAATTCAAGTTAAACAAAACAATATGGTTTGTACATCTGTCATTTCAGTCGAAACATTTATGAAAACTGAGAAACATAATGTTATAATCTCTTTCTTACGGTTATGACCCAGCTATTCCTATTGCTTAGTATTCTCGGACACCGATTCACTCGACAAGTCCCCAAATCAGAACACGGATGAACAGGAAAGAGATTATATTCAAAATAACAAGGTTAGATGGAAGTAACAAGCAAGTAAGAAGTATAATAGAGAAAACGTTAGTATATTTATAGTTTTTACTTGAGAAGGTTCTAGAGTGTTCTCCAACTATCGAATAGTGCTGATTGGTTAAGAATTAGCCAATCAGCGTGCATCAAAGCAATCATGCATTGAGCATGCTTCAATCCAGTCTATGTCCCGCTAACACATAAGAATAACAGAGCTATCCCAATGAAAAGGTTTCGAATTTTAATTTAGTTAAAAAACAGAAAGTTACACTGTTAATTTACAAACTCTCTTTAGGTAAACTGTAATACATGTAACGTTGCTCTAAGAACTTATTATAACTTATATAACTTAAAACGTTCAAATTAAAAATAATCATTGGTCTATCAGGAACTGATCAACAGAATCACAATAAAGGATCATTTTCTATTTTAAAAAATCGTTATTGCAGTACACGTCACCATATGATTAAAGCAATATTTTGTCAACCTAAATAAATAGACCTTTAGACAAACAAAATATTTGGTTAGTTTTCCATAGAACTAAAGAATTTTATGCCAACAATCTTGAACTTTGAAATAATGTTCATAGAACAACAGATAACTTTTTTTTAAAAAAACCGTCTATTATTTACTATCATTTACAATTATAAGAGATTATTGAACGTTTACAAATTAGTAAGCAAAAATAGTCACAACAGAAAATATATCAAACAAAAAACACCAATGAAATTCCTCAATAAAATGAATGTTTAATTCTCTTACTTTCTCGTTAAATATAAAAGAACATTATGAAGATGAAGATGAATTCCAATTATACTGAATATGCTGTGAATATGACCAGAAGCAAAGTTAGTTAAAAATCGATATCCTGTTATAAGTGTGGAGGTATTTTACTTTAGGATTGTTGCTAATCTACGGTTAAATATTAGCTGGTAGTAGAATGAAGGACAACCATTTCGTTTCATTCAGAGCATATCATCTGGACATATCTGTATTTTAGTGTTAGTGTCAACACACACAACAACAACTGCAGAAGACGACCAGTTTGACAGCAGCCTCAGCAGTAGTACGTCACAACATACACAAAGGGAAAAGCAAGATTCTCCGATACAACACAGCATGCAATAGTCGAATAACACTTGACGAAGATTCGGGAGATGTAAAAACCTAAACATGTCTGGGAAGTATCATTAATGAACACAGTGAATCTAATGGAGAAGTGAAAACGCGGATCGGCAAAGCAAAAGCAACATATTTACAACTGAATAACATCTGGAACTCAAAACAACTGTCAACCAACACCAAGGTCAAAATTTTCAATACAAATGTCAAAGTCGTTCTACTGTATGGGGCGGAAACCTGGAGAACTACGGAAGCCATCATCCAGAGGATATAAGGGTTTACTGACAGTTGTCTACACAAAATACTTTGGATCCGTTAGCCAGACACTATCAGCAGCAACCTACTGTGGGAGAGAACAACCCAGATCCCAGTGAAGGAAGAAATCAGGAAGAAGCTCTGGAAGTGGATAGGACACACGTTGAGGAAAGCACCCAATTAAGTCACAAGACAATCCTTTGCATGGAATCCTCAAGGCGAAAGGAAAAGAGGAAGACCAAAGAACACATTACTTCGAGAAATGGAGACAGACATGAGAAAAATGAACAAAAATAGGATAGAACTAGATTGGAAGGCTTAGGACAGAGTGGGTTGGAGAATGCTGGTCGGCGGCCTATGCTTCATTGGGAGTAACAGACGTAAGTAAGTAAGTCAACACCGCGACTTGAATTCAGTGCCTTTCGCTTCAAATCTCAACTTATCTAGTAATATATTGAGTCTACACAGCCTTTAAAAACCTAGAAAACAAGTCGTTTCGTTTTTAACATGTAAGATATCAACTACATAAGTAATCGAACGTGCCTAACTAAAACATTGTACGATGTCAGGTTTTGGCCACCAAGTGATAAAAATCCATGCACCGAGGTTAAATCTTATCCACTTTTTCAAATTCATCACTCAACTTCATTTCAACAGAAATATTGCATCAGAAATCACGTACTAGTTGCTACACTTATAATGAATATGAAAAGTTTCATATCGCCTTCTATGTATACACTTTTGAGGGAAACGTAGAGGTTGTTTATTTAATTTGATACTATCTAATTACTGTAAAGTTGTAGTAAAATAGAAACAAGTGATTGATTGTAGGTTATGTTAGAGTTATGAATTTTGATAAGTGAAAAGTTTAGCCTGTATGTGAGGCCAAAGGTTACTGAGGCCATCATCAAGCATAATTTCAGAACGTGACGAGAATCATCATTATAAAGCATCAAATCTTCATATACTACCTATCACAAAAACAATTTGATGCCAATCATTAAAGGGTTGTATAGATTGTCGAATTTTATTTAAATCATCAATCAATCTTAGACCCACTATTTAAAACCTGGAAGCAGTGGACGGACATTTCGTCCTATTATGGAACTTCGCAGGAATGTGCATTCACCATCCCACCCTTAGGAATCGAACTCAAGACCTTCAGTTTAATACATGAACGCTTGAAATCTAGACCAGTGAATCAGCATCCGAATTTATGATTTCAATGAAATTTTATGCTTTTTCATTGACTTGTTTCGACATTGGTTTCCAAACGTTCTAGTAGGAAACCGTGGTCAGTGGCGTTTTCCAATCAGCAGCGAGTAATTTACTCTCCCAGGACTCTTGATGACAACCGTGCTACATACCCGATTGTCTAAAGTTGGTTATGGTGACCACTTTATCCTGACCCAGTAACTAAATGGTTTGATGCTTGTCCAATAGCCTAAAGTCCTAAATTCGATGTCTCACCTTATAGTCAAATGTACACTGCATTCGAACGTCCAAAAATGAGGACAAAGCAGCTGACTAGTCCAACCAGTTCTGAATTTTAATATAAATATCCAGAACACTTCATTGTATGCAAATAATTTGAAAATAGTTCTAAGTCGCTTTTAATTAAAATATCCATAACTAGGACGTTTCTATCTACGACGAATTATGAATGTTCTTGTTTTCTTTTATATCAATAGAAAATTAGAGAATTATCACATTTCATGAATTTTACTTCACATTTATAAGCAAAAATATTTTTTTTCTGGAAATGTGTTATAACGAAATATTTAACAACATCGTATTAATCAAAACTTAACAGACTAACATATTTGCATAAATTTGTTTTCATGCAATTCATTTGAATGTTTAATTAAGACAAATAATTTCTATTAAATTATTTTTTCTTTAAAAAAAAATAGTTGACATACATTTTGTTCTGAAGGTTTACTAAGACATTTTGTTGGTTTATAGCACAAAACAGAATTCATTAATTCTGTTTTGTTTATGAGAAATATAATTGAACATTTCATACTGATTAAAAATAACGAAGATACATTACAGCAGAAACTTCTACTTGACGACTTGAAAACCAGTGATGTAGTTTCATTTACAAAAAAGCTATCAACATAGGAATACCCTCATTGTTGCTGTATGCTATGGTATTACATGGTTTTCATTTTGTGGAAAGAAACTATTAGCTATGCAACATCAAGATACATTAAATTCTCAAAGATGATCTACAAAACCTTTGAACCTAAGTTTTGTGCTGGGTAGTGTTTTCTACTATCAACTATCGTCAGTCTTCGGAAAACTAATGTTACCAAATAAGATCTGAACTCATGTCTTCCAGTTTCTTGGTTGAAACAATAGCTCCGATGCCGAACTGAATAAATTAGTCTTTATATTGATGAGAATCGATCAACACTGTGCAGTAAATAAACACGACGCTGATTATCACTCAGCGACCAAATGCTGAGCATGGATTTATTTTCAGCAAAATTCAATTACCACAGAGACCGCGATTGGAAATACTTGCTTTTGTAAGCACCTTAGAGATTTGATTACTATACAATCATAAATACTGAAATCCCGTTTGAACTGCACATGACTTTAAGTCGTTTTAGATATGGTTGTTCTGTGGTTTTCATACTCAATAATATTTAGTGATGCTCAAAGTAATTATAAAAACCAAATGATGCTGGTTTATGATATAACACCATGAAACGAACAGTAGATCCATATAACTGATGTCTCTTGGTGAATCAAATGTTCAAGAAAAAAGTGGAAGACACAATGAGTTTGGAATAAATCCAAATCTTTGAAATTTAAGAATTCGTTGCCCATTTAGTTGGAGTAGTATCTATCAAAATTTATGTACACTTGTGAGTTATCAAAAAACACCACTTTTTAGAAAAATTTTGAAAGTCCTAACAAATGTTTTGTCATTTTAATGTTCTATAGAAGCTTACTGTAGTTTGAAGACTAATTTTTTTATTCGAGTTTCAAATGATAAACTTTAACCAAAAAACGGAATTAAATGATTGAAACTTCATCCTAATTTGGAATACCATGTTTTATTCCATACTAATAAATCAATATCTAGGAGATCAAAGCTTCTAACAACATAAGTAAATAACTATTGCACTTTTGCTAGTAACTTATTTCAGATTATTAACTACTGAACATATACTATTGACATTGTTAGACGGTTCGTAATAACCAATGCATTTTGTCAGAGGCCTCATTATCGACAGATACAAGCCTGATACGTGTACGTTAAGAAGGAGAGCTTCAAGTTTTATGACTGTCACAGGAATTTTAAATTTCCATAACTCCCTATTTCATTTTTCCACTATTTAATTAAATAATAATAATGATAATTATTAGTTTTAGTTTTAATCATTTAATTTTTGCATGATTTACGAATCATTATCATAAAATACATTTGATAGATATGGACTATGAATCAGAAATTGTTTAATTTTTAATTATTTTTTTTTCATTCATACTGGGTTTTTTTAATGAATATTCATTCAATTAAACCAACTATTTAATTATGTCAGAATAGGTTCCGTGGAGATTTTAGAAATTTCACAGATTGAAATCATGAGTCAGTTGAAGCTGGACCACCACTGAAAACCTGGATGCAGGCTCAGTGGTCTAATGGTTAAGTGCTCGCGCGCGAAGCCAGTAGGTCCTGGGTTCGAGCCCCGCGTGGTGCGGGATCGTGGAATGCGCACTGCTGAGGAGTCCCATACTAGGACAAAATGGCCGTCCAGTGCTTCCAGGTTTTCAATGGTGGTCTAGCTTCAACTGACTCATGATTTCAATCTGTGATATTTAATTATGTGTAGGTTATTATAAAATAGTTTTAATGATAAACAATGAAAAATATAAATCAGTTTATGGATCCCCTTATTACACAACATTTGAATTGACCGATCATTTTTAAATAAAATAAATCTCTTCACACAACTATATATACTGATTAATTTACTCAATTCTCTGATGGATAATCAAAATTATTAATGATTTGTGAACATGATCTGTAAGCTTTTCATTATAATTTAAGGCTAAAGTAAATCTTTATTAGACAAACTCTTCATTTTGATATACGAAAATGTAATTGAATATTTAAAAAAAAACTAGATATTATTTAATTTATATCTAATGGTTGGTTAAATCTTCTCATTGATATTTACGACTATGATTGATCAGTTCCTTATGGCATGTATGCATACTACCTCAATATTACCATTAAGTCATAAGCAATTTTAAGCAATGGAATTCAGAATGGATGTTTCGTTCTATTCAGACTCGTCAACTGTGCCTACCTGAATCTCAAAGTTGATGTACACTCTGGGACTCGAACCGGCTACTGATTCCAGTAGCTAAGTAGGTAGTGTGATGGTAGTTAAAGTGATTGAACTCGAATGCAGGCACATTCAACCGAAAAGTTCTAGGTAGAATCTAACGAGCGTCCTGAATACTACTACTAACCATCTTCAATCTCTATTCATTCCGATTATTATAATCAAATTATTTAAGACACAAAATTGAAACTAAGACAATTGTGATTTTTATAAAGTTGAAAGAAACTGAATATTTTTTTGTTAAACTTTCTGGTTGTTATTTTTATATAGTGGATTTCGTTTAAGACATTCCATTTTGCTCATTAGAAGATTTATCTGAAAATTCAGAATTAGTGATATTGTTGTATAAATATCATTGTTTTTTTAATTTGACAAAACATTCTTTTGTTCACCTGGACCATCTATAAATGATAGAGAAATTTCATTTTTAACCGCTGATATGAAAAAATGTAGTTTGAAAATACTGTTTTCAAAACTAAGGTCTGTCCATTCTATATAGTGTTTGTCTGCAAAATACATCCAGTTATTCAATTAAGAGAATCATTAAACTTGGACTCGTCTATTTACAAATGTCAAAGAGTTAGTCACCTCAAGCAATTTCGAAGTACAATATGCATATAACAATGTCTACTTATTAAGTCCTATTTAATAGTGACTGGAATGAAATTTCCTCCTTTTATTTGCTCTTATCAGTTGCTTTTGCTATTTAACAACAACGATAAAACTTTAATTTCATGCCTCAGAGTAATAAGTTAGTTATTTGGTTTCGAAACCTTGGCAGAAATTAAATAAACGTTAAGACGAAACATAAATAATTACTTCATGGAATCTTTAAGTCGATTTTATTTTGTTTCGTTATCATCATTATCAATGGTACTTCTACTTCAAAAATATTTTTTTAGTGTAGAAACGGTATTTTTATACACATAGAGGTGAAAAAACAACAACAAAAGCATGCAGAATGAAAATAAGTCAATAAATTATTATTATCTTATTTACAAAACGTGATCACATGGTAGGACCTACAAAATAAATTCAGCTACAATAGAGAACCAGAAACTGTTTAATAAAAAAAATGTAATTATCGATTATCTTATATAAAATTCAAATTATTAATTATGTAAGTTAGTATAGACGCGATGGAACAACAGATATTTTCACCTTAGATTTCAGCATCACAGAATTTCAAGGATCTGGTTCGAAGAAATTGGCTCTCTTCCAACAAATCAGATGCATTTGAGAGAAATAACATACTAACTGCTAATCACCAATAGTTCTAATAATCGTTAATTATCAATGTACCATTCTAGAGCAGTTATAGACCAGATATCGCTGGATCGGTTGCCGATCAACAACCGATTAGCGTATATCGGTTAGTTTTACCGGAGTTGTAACATGTTTCAAGCAGACTGATCATGCGATTTGTTACTGCAATACTATGTGATGTAGGCTTGTATCCACTAAGGGAGCAAAAGATCGTTGATATGACTTGCTAATGATGACCAAGAAGAAGGAATTCGAGCCTCAAGACTCTTCCAATAACTAACAACCACTCACAACTAAAAGGCGTATATTTGACGACTGTTTTCTTAAGGTGAATTTAAGCAAAACAAAACGTAAACCTTTTCATTGCAGGGAATAGTATAGTTTAATAAAATGAAGTAACCTGTAAACATACCATTTCCACTTATTAGAAAGTCAAATCCAGAATTTCTATCAATACGATACTTTAGTTTCACATCAACCAGATCATAAACACCTGATAATGCGCCAACAGGTGAACCAACACTACTCCAACCCTCTTCACCAAACTCGTACATTTCTGGTGTACGGTTCCAGTAAAAATCAATTGTCCAATCTCTTATCAAACTGTTCTCATTTCCACTAGAATTCAGTGGAAGAGAGAAACATCGAAGAAAATTGTCACAGCATGATGAATTCGTTGTTACTATGATCATATTATCTGGCTCAACAAATGGTATTTTTGACTTGTTATTACTGTTATTATCCGATATATTGCTGTTTGTTGTGTTGTTATGATTCATCAAAAAAGATTTATCCAGAATGTAAGAAATCTCATCTTTCGAAGAATATTTCTCTGTCAAATCGATAGGAATTCGATAACAGGTTGTCTAAAACATTTTCAATCAAAAGTCAAATATTTCGTGGTAATACTATAATTAGTTTTTAAAAAAGAGAATGCATATTAGTGCCAAACAAAAAGTGCATCCAGTGTGAAATACTGATATTTTTTAGCATGAAACTGAATAAAAACCACCATTAGCTACGTTGTTCAGTTCATAAAAATTATGTACTAAAGTCAATGTAAAAAGCCAGGTCAATAAAAACTGTTTTTCAAATAAAGTATAAATATAGTTGACATTTTATTTCAACTATTCAATGCTTACTGTTCAGTGTAAAATTTGAAATGATTCTGGTAAATCAGTAAGATGAATATTGTTTTAATGAAGTTAGACCAAAACATTACCATGAACAAATGAAATCTTCCGCCCTTGGCTTCACATCCAGGCTAAACTTTTCACTTATCAAAATTCATAACTCTAACATAACCTACAATCAATCACTTGTTTCTATTTTACTACAACTTTACAGTAATTAGATAGTATCAAATTAAATAAACAACCTCTACGTTTCCCTCAAAAGTGGATACATAGAAGGCGATATGAAACTTTTCATATTCATTATAAGTGTAGCAACTAGTACGTGAAATAACAGGGAATTATAATACTGGTAACTTTACTGCCTCCGTTAGATAATTAACTACTACAAATCGTTGAGCAGCAAACTTTATTTCCTCCAGTTACAGAATCTAGCAGGAGAAATCAATTAGGTCATCGTTAAAGGTGGAAAAAACATTTCACTGTTAAATATTTATTCCCAGTAAGGGAGATTTGTGGAGATTATTGTGGATCAAAGTAGAATTCATGAGTCTGTCTAAGCTAAATCACTACTGAAAATCTGGAAACACTGAACGACCATTTCGTTCTAGTATGAAACTCGTCAGCGGTGAATTCCCACGATCTCGCACAATGGATGACGGGTTGCACAAGATCATTCATCAATTGAAGTTAGATATTAACACCGTTAGATGCCAGCTCATTGGTATCCGCACGCGGAACCGAAGGCCCTGGGTTCAAGTCCTCTGTTCAGGGTGGTGTTCTAGCGTAGATCAACTTGTGATTTCTACTGTGGAAATATTTATTCAGTCATATAACTGGCATAGCGAGCAATGATTGGAGCGTGAATGCGGTGTGAAATTATTTGCGGATAATTGTCCATAACATATCTCAGACACAATAAGTGGCAAATGTAACAATAATCATCACCATAAGAATTATTAAGTGGTTCTGAAATCATAGAAGAAATGTTGACTAATAAACATAATAATGGATCTTTATATTATGTAAAGGTGAAATTAATGTTTACATAACGGATGGTTTGAAATATATTTTTCTCTCTCAGGTTGGTAATTCTTCTAACTGAACTCCAGATTCTGTTTCCTAAGCTCTCTAGTATCCCCCTCAGGCTAATCTACATAGCAACTTGAACACGAGAGAAAAGGCGCGAAATATAGAAAGAACGTTTCACTCCGAAATTCGTAAGTGTACGGAAAATTCAGGGTATCTATAGTATGTTAAATGGTCTTGGGCTTTCGGAAATTTCTGGAACACTACTAAACATAGTAACAGCATAGCTGATAATCAAATCACAAACGCGAAATGTGACTTGTCACTTTCTAGATGTTTCTGGCAAAACTTCTATTGGATATTGACTTGATAAGATGTTTCTCAGAGTCTTCAGAACCTTTCTGACTTTTTTCAAGGAATTTTCTGGATCGCCGGAACATAGGTATACAGCGATAATATGTTAATATGATAGTGAAACTTACTTACTTACGCCTGTTACTCCTCGTGGAGGAGCATGGGCCGCCCACCAGCACTCTCCATCGAACCCTGCCCTGAGCAATCATTTCCAACTCTTGCCGGTTGTTATTCATCCTTTACATATCTACTTCTATTTCCCGACGTAATGTGTTTTTCGGCCTTCCTCTTTTCCACTTCCCTTCAGGATTCCAAGTTACTGCTTGTCTCTTGATGCAGTTTGGTGGTTTCCTCAATGTTTGTCCTATCTACTTTCAACGTTTTTTCCGAATTTCCTCTTCAGCTGATTTGTTATTTAACACAGAGGGCTGTTGCTGACGATATCCGCCCAATGAATGTTGAGTATCTTGCGTAGACAATTATATATAAATACTTGTACCGTCTTGATGATGGTTGTGGTAGTTCTCAAAGTTTCAGCTCAGTACACTCGAATTGTCTTGACGTTCGTATTGAAGATTTTGATTTTTTATTGGTTTAAAGTTTTTTTTGAGTCCCATATGTTCTTTAATTGTAGGAATGCGGCTCTTGCTTTGCCAATCCTCGCTTTTACGTCTGTATCGCATCCTCCACGTTCATCGATGATGCTTCCCAGGTATGTGAAGGACTTCACATCTTCCAGAGTTTCGCCATTAAGTGTGATTAAGTTGGTGTTCCCTGTGTTTTATTTGAGTATCTTACTTTTTCCTTTGTGTATTTTGAGGCCTATTGATGCAGAGGCTGCTGCTACACTAATTGTCTTTATCTGACTTTGTTCGTATGTATGGGATGGGAGGGCTAGTTCATCTGCGAAGTCCAAATCATCTAATTGGTTCTGAACTGTCCATTTTATTCCGTGCTTTCCCTCAGATGTGGAGGTCTTCATAATCCAGTCAACCACCAAAAGAAAGAGGAAGGGGAAGAGTAGACAGCCTTATCTGACTCCGGTTATAGAGAGACTATTCACGCTATATTAGATCCATGATTCATGGCCCAGAATAGAGGACCAGATTAACACAAGGTAATACTTTATCCAACAAAATCACAAACAGTTACACCCAGTAAGTCCAGAGTATAAACTAATGAGAGGAAAGGAAATCACATATTTAATAGTCCGTAGGATGTGCGTTAGGTAGTTTTGTTATCGGAGCTGGATGGTTTGGTTGGTGAGCTTTCATTGCTCTTCTGAACAATATCATCAGCACAAACATCAAGTAAAAGTAAAGTGTTTGAATTTCTCCACATCTGACTCACAGCTTGTCCTGTCAACCTCGATGTTCATTGGTTATTGTTGACCTTTAACCTATCATTGCCTAACATTATTTTGATTGTATCTCCCTTTGATTTGATTCTTAGTACTATATCTGTGCATGTTATTTGATTGATTGATAGATTGGGTCGGTTTCAATGTGTTTGTTGATTCACCTAAGTACCAAGCTTCTAAAAATCCCCTGATGCTTTCGGTATTCCCACTATCTAATATCTCAACATTTTTCCAGTCAAAAGCGTGTCCGTTGTTGCTCACACGCATTGATATGAGGGAAGATATGTCACGGCTTTTGACCGCTAAACAATGTTAGTGCAGGAGAAGATGAAGTGGGCGCCCAATTTATCCAATATAGTATTTTTCTTAGTCGTAACAGTTTATTTTATAGGTGATGTTTGGTTTTTCTTCTTTTATCATACCATCCTTTGTTTTACATAGAATTGTTTGAAGTGATTTCGCTGGTTTGTTTGCTACACCTATTCCTAACGGCTTTAATTATCTCTTAATTTCTGACATACCTTTTATATATGATAGGATGATCCATTGGTTGTTTTCTGTACTTGACTTTGTTTCTGATGATGAGTTGAGTTGATACTTTTTGGTGAATTCGAATGGGTAGGTGGTCTTTTGAAAGATAGTCACTAGATACTTTTCTTTATTTTCCCGCACTGCAGGTGTGCTGCAGTGTATTTCCAACCTCCTGAATAAGTGTTGTACACAAACCATTTTGTGAGTTCTTGGGTTGTTGCTCAGATCAGATTTTTAGTGTTTTACATTTCGTCTTTTCGATGATGATGCTTCGACCACATAAAGAATCGACATTTTCGGCTTGATCACTGGTTAGATCGAGGCTTTAAGTCTCTGCATTGCTGCTCCCGCAATAATTCCTGATATTGATGATTCCATCGGTGTTCCTTTCGTTTGTTCGTAGATTTTGTTGTTGAATTGATAGTATGTTGTTAGGCATAAATCGATGAAATCTAGTAAACTTTGACTTTGAAGCTTTGTGTACTTTGGAAGACATGTGTCTTTGTTAAGGAGCAGGGATCAAATTTCTTTTCCTATGTTTGGTTTAATTGAAATGAATAGGACTATTACATTGAGGGATATCATAAAATCATCGTTGTTGATTTGAATCTCCTTAACCTTATACAAGAACTGCATGATAGATTTGATGGATTGATTGAATGAATCCACTAAATGCTTCAATATTCTTTAAATTTCTCTCGATAAATTGTATGTTGTATGGGAGTGATACAGTTGAACATAGTAAAATTTTTGGATGTGTATTTTCGAACTACCGTAGAATCGAGGGAGTACTGCTTTACTGGATTTTATTTTCCATTGATCTTGAATTGATATTTGTCATCTTTTTATAAGCTTGTTTAAGTCCTTGAAATTTGGTTGTCTAACCTTTTGATTGGATTTGTATTCATTAATTTATACACGTTTCATCCTCAAACAAACCCCCGGCTTTACTGATACGTTCTTCTTTGTCCATAATTACTGTAGTGAGTCGTTTGTCCGCTGGAACTATGACAATATTTCTAGTTTTTATTTTCTTTGCGGCTTTTTCTTCTTCTGATGTCAGTTGAGTGTTTTCTTTCTTCTATCAAGTTAACGTCACTATGCTTCGTCTTATTTCCTTTTGAGCTTATGTGTTCACGTTCAGTGACCAATCACATCTTAAATTCGTTACCATATATCACATATATACCTTCTTTAAATTTGAAGTTAATGGTCATGATTCGTAAGTGGAAATGAAATATGATTTTTAAATTACAAGCGCCATATTTTCAGAATAAACAAAGAAGTACAGAATAACAGAAACCTTGAACACGGTAAAACTAAATACGCATGAAACTATACTTTAAATAATTTTCAGTTAAGCTATAAAAAATAAAACTTACCTCTTTCGAACGATTGTTTGTATATGTAATAAGAAAATAACCGCGAAACTCCAGAAGAGCACATAACTGATGAAAGTCATCTTGAGAGATAACGGTAATTCTATTTAATGGTGGTAAACGTGAATTTCTTGAACTTGAATTCATTGTTCCACTTTGTTGATTATTGATGTTCAAATTAGCATCCTTCAATTCAATACACTCAGTTACATTAACTGAATTAAAAGAGTCTGAGTCTTTTGCAGTATTTTGTTGATTATTCTTCAACTCTTGTTGATACTGAAGTGTTGATTTAACTGAGTAAGTAAAAAATAAACTATTTATAAAAAGATTAAACAATATATTGCTTATTCTTCGAATTCATTGCCATTAGGCTTTCTCTCGATTACGACTGAACATTACTAACGTGACACTAATCATTGTGCGTGTATTCATCAAAATATGGTGATAGAAACAATTCTTCTCCATGAATACCTTCTAGATTATGTGACCCAGTGTGATAAAATCCCAAGAAATTGTCCGCGTGAGGAAATCAATATATGCACTAAAGGCTAATTACTCTTCGAACGAGCATTCCAAAGCTAACTCTAAGTGAAGGGAAGTAAATTTGAAATATCTACTATCCATAGACAAGCAAATTTTCGAATTGGCAAATTTGATTGAAGCACTTTTCCAACCTAATATCGAACGTTTTCAGAATAGTCTACGTGCTTAATGAAACTCAACCTCAATCAGAATAAGTAACTCTTGTTTAAATATCAAGTAAGTGACAAATTCATATTAAGTCGAAGATAAGTGTTATAACATAACAGTGTGGTTTAATTGCAGTAGACCGATTACAAACACTAAATATTGATATCATCAGTTATGTTTTTAGCCACAGAAAATTACAGACTACTCAAAAGTCAATTAAGAGTAAAAAAACTCTTCTGGATACAACATATAAAAAGTTCTCATTAGATTCTTATCCAAAAATACCCACCATAAAATGTTAAGTAAATACAAATAAGACAAAAGTTAGTCTTCATCAAATGAAAATAACAAGATTCATCTATAAACATCCAAATTACTGCAATGGCTAAAAATACTTAATTTTGATTAAAGAATAATTATACCTCATTTATTAGCTGATTTATCTCATAAATAATGCCAAAATACCAAATATTATAATACATAAAGTTCAGTCTGTTACACTGAGGATTTTTATATACAGTTAAAGCAAGTATGGATATTTAGGCTAAAAATTATCTCGAAGATGAATTTGTCATGAATTGGTATCCACCAGGAAAATAAAGAAAAGGAGGCACCTCTAGACAGACGAATCACCACAGTGTATGCTAACGAACCTAAGAACATTCAGATCTTAAGACGAGTGGATCATCTTTACACTAAGAAGTCAGATATGATATTCCATATATCCGACTCCAATTAGTTCTTAATAAATTATGGTGATTGTAATGTTTATTATGATAACGCAAATAATATCAGTCGGTGACCAAAAATATACAAATCCAACTGATTTCTCACATATTCACTAACAATTAACATCCGAAAACTTCAGCTTAATCTCAATAAGTCGTAAATAACTATGAGTAACGCTAGTTATTCATTTCATACTATAGTTGAAACAAATCGGAAATTATGTTATCTAATCGAATCCGTTAATGAATTACCTTAACTGATACATAGTTCACTTCAGTATAGTGAGAAAACTACTTAATAGTTGAGTTCATGAGTCAATTAAAGCTAGACCACCATGGAAAACTTGGAAGCACTGTTTGTTAAAAAGTTGATCAAGCAAAAACTTTTGTTGTAGAAAATTTTTTGTCCAAATTTAATTTTCAATAAAGTGACATAACGATAAACAAAAAAACTATTTAGGACCTGGCTAAATGATACATGAATTCAAGATGCTGATTTTTTCATTTGAACAGTTAGACTAAAGCAGTAGACGGTAAACATCACCTAAAATGGTTTAAAATAAATACGGAACTATCATCAAAACCCTTTATTATTTAGGTTATTAACTTTGTAAACGAACATTAACAAAAAACCATAACAAAAAAATAAAGTGAAACCATTTTATTTTAACGACTTTTCAATGAAAATTAGAAATCACTGATTTAATCAGCCACATTTTAACATTCATAACTATATTATGGTAATAATGATACACTACACACCACAACTGCTTATTATCTTAAAGTTCCAAATATACTTACCATCTTATATCTAGTTTTTTTTTTAATTAAAAAGACTACTTTCAGATATGACAATAAATTATTAAAACGAGAAAATTCAAGATAGAAATGCGCATTATGCCAGTAATTTTATACTAACTCAGTTTATAATAATATGGTAAAACTAAAACTCTTAAACTTTGAATTTTTTTTTGCGTGCTGAAAATAACAGTCGAAAACAACATTTGCATTCAAATTTGGATCCAATTTCATAAGTCTATCACTGACACATGTGTAGACAGAGCATTATAATCTGTCAAGTTCTTTTGTTAATCACACATATATCATATAATCAGTAACTTGATCAAAGATTTGTAAAATATATAAATTTGACTAGATTCCCTTTGCAAATTAATCTCGTCTAGATGACAATGAAACAGCAATTGTTTTAGTTATGCTCATTGATATCTTCAAGGAAATTTGTTATATGAAATGAAACTATCCGAAATTTCACATTAATCAAATATAAGATTTCGTATTTCTACCAATACATAGGTTAAACCAAATATCGAAATATTATTCTCAATGGTGAACAAACTTTGTAGCCCATAAAGACACTGATAATTGGTCGGCGATATTTTCCAAGAAAATATTTTTTATTTCTTAATACTCAACAGAGTAAGAGTCTTTTTCGTTAAATGATAGTCCGCGTACTGCAATATATTCAAGTGAAATGAAAACAGATAGCCTCAAAAGTCCTACACTCCATGAGAATAATGCACTGAAAAGTAATTTTTCTACCGAGAATATGTAATCCCTTTTGAACCATACCACTTTTATGACCGCCTGTGACATTACTCGCTTGTTTAAGTTAAAAAAGAAGGAGTAGGGTTCGAACTTGCGAATTATTGGGTAAAATTGAACTATTTTAGCCCATAAGCCATCTGTGCAGTATTAGGCTGGAATAGACATTATGTTAGAAGAAAGGAAGTTAATAACGACGAAGTATCATTCTGTAATCATTGATAAGCAAAAATAACAAAAAAGAATACTAAAACTAACAAAATTATAAAAAAACAATAATATTTATGTGCATTCGTTTAAAGGTCTATAAATGTTAGTTTATATTGACCAGTGTAATACAATGCTCTTTGATACCAATTCGAAGCACAACCACTGAACATTTAGTAGACTATACAACTTTTTTTTTTAAAAAAATCGAATATTTATTGAATTATTATTTTCATAAATAATATTACTGTAATATAATTAATTTAACAAGTTTATTACAACTTTACAATCACAAAGATACTAACAACTTTAACAATAATAATTCACATGGATATAAATATGAAACATGACAGAAGTTTGATTTTTCGTAGTTGAACAAAATAAATAAAAAAAATCAAAAGTATTAATCCATAAAAATATTTGATTCTCTTCATAGTCATTCATTTACTTCATCTCATATCTTTTATTTTTAAATTATACACATATATATATGAAGAGAGAGTAAAAATAAGGGAACACTAAAGATATTTCACTCCTGTTACAACAAATTAATGTGCAATAAATATTGAAGATCATGTACATGCACCAAGGCAAGAAAAATTAACAAATAATGAATATATAATTAAATTTTTTTTTAAATTAAGAACTAAAACTGCTAATCACAAATAAAGAGCATTGCATACAATAAATTTATTAACAACAGTGAAGCTCAACAGCATAACTGTAGACAACGTGCATAAAAGTTCAATGTTTGAAAAGCAGTGAACCTGATAAGGATTCTGTAGATGATACAATAAGCCTATATTTACTTAGATAAGTTACTCATGTACAATAAATAAAACAAATTCGTTTAGTGCTGCTTCCGTTTACGATGAGCTAAATAAGCATTTATTCCAAATACTGAAACAATAAGTACTACCACAACAAGCAATGAAACTCCAGTCAACGCTGTAATTGGTATATTACTCTTGAAGTCACGTGGACAAACTTCTCGTAAGCCTAGAAAAGATTAGAATAGAATTGAATGACGTATAACAAGAATAACAGTATCCTTACGATCTGGTCTAATTGTTTCTTCAGCTTTGAATGCTTGAAATGTCATTGAATTAAAGACAATCTCAACATTGTGACCAAATTTAATTGGTATTTCTGTATCACACACATACACTTCATCAGTACGAGTTAAAAATTTTTGATCAGACGTAGTGGAAACTATATTTGTGAAAAATAAAGGAATCGGTTAAGTAGACCTTATGTTCAATTTAACTGTTCGATACATACTTTTGGCTTCAGAAGTAGGTAATTCAGATTGTGATAAAGTGGATAAAGGCTCAGCGAACTGATATATTAATGTCATATTTGTCCATGCAAAGTATTCCTCATCCTGCTCTACTGTTAACAACAAAACACATTTCTGTAGTTTGGAACCTTCTGTGGACATAACCAAATTAATACTAATTAGTTGGTTATCTGATTTTATAGTTTCATTTGTATGTACATAAGATGAGGTTGTTTTCGGAATAAACGTATAGTTCTGTAGTTCATCAACATTTCCATCCACCTACATTTATAATAAAATAATTTTGACGGTATCATTTTAAAAAAACAGATGCTCACGCTTTCACTGACTGGATAAAAGAAACGCAGTTTCCAATACCATTCTCCGGAAACGTAAGGTAGATCAATGACGGATACTTTCCCATTTGATGAAACTGTCAAACAGACACAACCTGTGAGATACAACAATAATAATTGTAAGATAACTGCATGCATATTAAAAATCATCATAACGTATGGTACACATATACTGAAAGACAACTAACATCGAAATTTTAGAACACAACATATTCAGAGGACAATGTACATTCAAACAAAATTGGATAAAGAAAAATAAAAGTAAAGTAGGACTTTATAAAAGTTCTCAATAGTTGAACTTCCCACACTTCACATTAGCATAAGGAGAAGACAATAACAAGAGGAAAAGGATGGAAGAAAAAATGATAACACCGGCAGTGGTTGAAATCTAGAAACATGTAAATGACGCAAAATGAATAGCGAACAATGGACAATTATACTGTTTTCAAAGGAAAAACAAAGAATTAATATATCTTCATTGGTGCGGTCAGTCTTCATCAAGAAATTACTTCATGGACCTCAAATAGTCAGTTGACACATTCTGAAACTATGCTAACTAACAGTAAATGTGTTCACCAATCATTAACATCCGGTCTAATTACCCTTAGCCTTTCTAAAACCTACTGTCATTTCACTACGCATAATGTTTGATTATTTTTGTCAAATATCAAATATCCCAACTGCATTAATTAATTTGTCAATTTTACTTAATCAGCTAATTACATTTATAAGTGATAGAGAGGTTAAGAGAATTCTGGATATGTCACTTGTCATTTTAATTCAATAATACAATATATCACAATAAAATATTGAATTTTACTTTCATGGCTGGGTTTCATTCTTAGGAAATCGTCAATTTTGTAAGCTTAATGCTATTTGCATAGTTTTTCTAGCAACCAAGTCTAAGTAGTGACCAGGTTAAGAAGAGCAATCAGTTCTCTATCGGTATAACCCAAAACATTCTACAAATATTTCAAACATAAACTAAGAACACTTTAAAATCGCATTAGGTAGCTTACAGACCTAAAATTATGATCTTCAAACCGAATGTAGACCAATCTACTTGAAATATCGCAATTCTAAGTTTTCGATTCAGACAAACACAAGCTTAGAATTATAACTGCACTTAAGACTCTCAAAAATACTGAATCAAACCAATTTGTGTCATCACGATCATTTTCTACACGTTGATACAAAACTATCTTTCATAACTGCATTTGGATAATTACTGCTGCATCCCGATAAGAATAATGAACGTTAATTTTTGGGATCCATTTATGGACCAATATTATTAGTATATTTTTATCGTATAATTGTTATGTAACTGAACTGCTCATATTCATGTCCCTCTTATTGTGAGCTATATTTTGACCTATGAATTATTATTATACGATTTACTATTCATGAATTATTCCCTGTCTGTTAATCGCTACCTCCCTCATGCACAGCAACATCTGGCTAACTCTTGTACAAATGTTGTTTCATATTTTATTGGTTCGTTATGATCGGTTTGTTTGGCATATAAACTCAGTATGCTTGAAATATAGTGATTCATATCTCAGAGGCTGAGACTTGCGTTCTGGACTCAACTGGCTGGGCTAGACAGGGAGCTGGGACCAATTAGAACTCTAGGCCGTTTTTACGTGTTTACGCGTCTTTGGTCCGATCGATAATTTGCTGCCGTCTAATCCACAGTCACAAGTTATAACAAATACGTGTTATCATACACAGTAAACTGTCAGGTTTCACAAAAAGTTCCAATAATGAGCAAACCAACGCAGATATCATATTAATCAGTATTCATCTTGGGAAAAAGGTGGGAAAAACCTGTCATTTTCCCGTGTTTCATGGGAATCGAACTTGACATTTATTTAGAAACCATATTACTTACAGAATAAAATTACCAACGCTCGTGTAAGTCTCAATCATCGTTCTACTTATTTTAAAGACTTATTTATGTTCGAAATCATTCTGTTTATATCATGTAACAGGTAAATCACAAATTTGAGCTAAAACTGAAGGGTGAAAACTACTACCTGTGTAACATGACTATGGAATTTTCAACTTTGTAAATAAAGCAATCGTTGATGTTGTAGCTGTCAAATTATGGAACTCAATAAATCAACTTAAAATTTAATCAGTCGGCCGATATAAAACTTCTTAACCATTCAGTAATTTAAACACTTACTCAAGACAATGAATTTTAAATCAAAGATAATTAAGTGAACCATTTCATTTTTAAAAATAGTTGAGAAAAACTATCCGAGAGATTGTATTTTTCTGTAGATATTCGGTAAACTAGACCACTGAATATAAAATTAACTACATGTGACTTCACCATCCGAATTAACTAAGGTGAAGTGTACAAGCAAGAGAAGAATTATTGGAAACAAAACGCTCAAGGAAAATACCTTGACAAAAACTATAGCTAATAGTAGAAAAGTTGTTCAAATTTTAGAGGTAGTTAGCAGAAACCTATAAAACCAAATGTTATGTTTGTTATTAAACTGAGTCTGAAATCTCAATACCAAGGAATAAAATGGGGTTGCTTTTTAGTAACCCAAACGTCCGTTACTCAATCGACAATCAGGAATTCGAGAACAAAATTTACTCGTTAAGACTAGTCTGGTTTTAAAAATAGTCACTGATCATTAATCAATCATAAACTGTTTTGTCTTAAGAGCTGACGGAACTTTCAGAGCAGATAAGGGACGTATAATTTAATTGATATTTCCATATCTTAACACTTATCCACTTGTAATTGCAGGACGACATTAGTTCTACTTTAGTGTCTGCCCAATTAAGTAAAAACAAATGTGCATTCATAACTTATCCACAAATTCCGCTTGCTAATATATGAATTTAAGAATAAATTCTCTGTTGAGAACACGACACATCAAATATCTTATTTTTCTGTCCATTTAATTGCCCTTTGACTTCACTTATTTCACAGTTAGCTACTTAATAATGTTACGTTAATTTTAATTTCGTTTCTCATCCTTTTTTATAGTTTTGAATTCCGTAAAATTAAGACATTAATAAACCTTGAGTAACTGACGAGAGAATGAGCGACTTGGTGAGCCTTAATAAAGTTATCTAAATACGAAAGATAATGAATAACATAAAGTGTCAAACAATAAGCTATATTTCAGTTAAATCACCAAGTTAATGGTTTATCCAAATAGCAACCATGCATACCAAATTATTGTTTATAGAGGATATAAATGAAAGCTTTAAAAAATATATATAGACTTATCAACAGAAACAGGGCTGAACAGGTTCTTTAAACTTATCATCTTATAGGTAAAATATTCCTTACATTCTCTGAACACTATGATAACAATCACATAACAGTTAACTACTGATTGATAACTACGTACTACGTGACTCAAAAAACTACACATTTGATTAGAATGCCTTAAGAATAACTGATGCAGCATTATGTGATTTTAATTTTACTTTCATTAATATCGATTACATCAAGACCACGCTCGTTGTAGTAGGGTTAGTTTTTGTATGCTTCAACAATGATTCAGGTCAAAATAAGATTCTCTCAGTATCAGAATATAGGAAACGCGACTTCCGAATTGTTACGTCAGTTGACTAGATATATTCTGCTATTTTAATGTTAATAGACTTACACATGCACAAAAATATCTTAACTAGAAAAACAACTGATGATCTGTTGCTAAATACAAATTATAATCTATAAAACGATTTAGTTGGATTAAATCACGTAATAATGTGTCAAATTACTACATATATAACAATATAAATCACGCGCTTGTTCTAGATATTTTATTAGCCAGTGAAAACATTCTTAAGCACATATTGTTGACAATATATGATAACAACAACAGTATCTCTATTCATAGTCGATAAAAAAATCTATCATTCTTACATGGCATTCAAAAACCAGCATAAAATACAGTGATATGACATGTTTATAAGCCTATAATCATACAATCTTGAATAGTTAAGATTACTACTACTTTTTAATGTGTATTGAAAAATAGATGATTTAGGGAGATTTACAGGACGATAGTTATGCAGTTAAAATGATGACAGCACTAAATCCAAGTACTAAGAGTAAATAGTAAGTAAAGTGAGTTACTCAGATCGAATGCATTATATATCGCCTAAGCGCTTCAAGAAAATACTAACATATTACAATCATAATTAGGTAACACTTAGAGAAATTAGGCACATCAGTGAAAGTGGCTATTTGTATGCAATATGACTACCACGAATGTAATCTTTTCTATGTAAAAACTTGCAACAAACCAGAATCAAAAGTTAGAAAGCCTCACGTATTGTTAAGTTCTCTTCACTTTGACTGTCTAAGCTAGACAGCCAGTCAGTTATAAATTGATCAACATTTAATACAAAATGTGCATCTATCTAAATTGCCACAATTTGCATCAATTCAGAGGCGATAAATAAACAAAATGAAAAATAAGGGTTTAAGCAATCATACGTTTAGTGACATTTCAGGAAAAACATGGAAAATAAATCTTTAGAAGAAACAATTAAAACAACCAGCAGGCATGAAATGAGACTAAAACTCAAAATATGGAGAAATAGAAAAAATAAGTAAGTTTTCATGACTGCAACTTTGAGCCATATCAAAAAAATCTCTGATTAGAAGTTAATTTTTTTCTTCTAATATGATGGTCCACGATTGTCAACACATCTCGGAAAGCCAAGGGAATACTTCATGAGCAGATGTTATGTTTTCGTTTGGTCACCTTCCACCAGTTCATATTCAACTAAGCACCGCAAACTAATTTACGCAATGTTAAGTACATGTTTTGTAAATACTAGCCAATCAATTTTATGAAACCTTAAAACCTCAATAATTGGATTATTACAGCTTTTCCATCCACATATTAGGTTTCATGATCAACTAAGCCTTCTATCTGATTTGCTTGACTTATTAAAAGCAAATAGATAACAAGCACATTTAGTAATTATTTTCCCATTTCATGAGTTGATTAGAATTTTAATTTTAGAGCTGTGGTTTGTCAACCGCAATGAGAAAACCATAAAGGCAATTTATGCGGTGACAACTAACCTTCTTAACTATCAAAACAAGTAAGCACAGTCAGGGAATAACCTAAAGACATATACTAGACTTCGAGACCTAATTCAGTTTCAGATATTCATTCACGAGTTGAACATACAAACACAACCCAGAACACTCTAAGGGACTCTTGTTAGTAACCTTATCAATGTACATAAATGTGAAAACACATAATATTGTTAAACAGTAGTAACTATTACGAAATTAGAATAGATAAAATTTCAGCACTTTACCTATAGATCTAATTGTAAGCAATCGTGAAAAAATCAAACGGAGTAAAAATAATGGAACATATCCCTGTGACTGCCTATTTGCATTAGAGTAACGGGCATTTTTGACCAGGAATCAGACTCACAATGGTGGTTAGTCAATCTTGCATGACAAATGATGAATAGAGGTTTTTTTCATATAAATCATATGAGATGTGTTATTCAAAATGACATAGGTCTGGTAAACTATTTTCATTATTAAACTAGGACATAAATTGGAACATTTTTTGTTTACACATAGAAATACGCAATACACTTAAATGTACTAAATGAACTTTTGGCTAGTCCGGGTGGAAATAAAAAACATGTGAAAAACATTTCGGTACACCTAAAGCCATAATTACATATAGATTTTCTAAAAGATAGATTATGACAGAATAGGTTATCAAAAGTTGCTCAAGTATCCTTTGTGAATGAATTATTTAGTAAAAGATTATAACGGTTCAAATGATTAGAATGGAATATTATTAGATGAAAAATCAAAGTTGGGAATTAATTTGAACCAAAGAGGTAAGCAAAAAATGTTATGGGGGGAATACCTATCAAAGCATCGGTTTCACATAACTCATTGAAGGATTTATTATTATATCATTCGTACAAGATCTTACATAGATTGTTGAGAAAATCTTTAGTCCGATAGTGACTGTCCAAACAGTTTTCAAGAACTTAGTCTTGTCACACAATATCTCGTGCGGGTTTAACTGGAATGAAATTTTTCAATAGACTATTACTCAACTTAGTCATCTATTTCATAAATTATCTACGAGCCACGTCATTTAGCTGCCTTTTGCATAAAAAGGAAACATAAAGTTTCTCATAATAGTATATGCCAAACGAATCCCAGAAGCTGAAACAAGTATTTTAACGTAACTCTACTTAGTAAATAAATGGTTAGTATAGATTTTAGATACTTACTACTTACTTTAAGTATTGAAAAGTTTAAACAGTACTGCGAATTTACATAATGTGAACGATTATTTAAGAGGACACCTTCTAACAGTTCAAAAACTAAGGTCGAATCGTTCACTTTTGAAGTTGACTTTCTAGCACTATGTAGTGAACTACTAAGGTCCTCAATCATAAAACGTAGCATCTTAATCCTATTTTGATACATTCAAAGGAATACAAGATCTTCACAATACTAAGAATAAAGAGCATTAACTTCCGTTCATTAAAATCGAAGAGCTACATGGAAAGAACTAAGTGCAAAAAGCGATATAATTTCAAAGTGGGACACAACTGTATAATGTCATCAAAGGTGATCGAAACTACATATGTAGGCCTAATGTTTACTGGATAAAGAGAGATTGAGTGTTTTTTACTTGTGCACAGCAGAATAGCTCAACTAGACGTAGCAGCGATATGTGAGAAATAGATCCAGGGTTTGAGCTATGGCATTAGTACGTGAAGTCAGTGAGCAATAGCCCTGCTTGAGTAACGATTTCTAAGAAAATATAAACGGCGACACCTCGATGAGGTAGGGAAGATTTGACATTGTGAATGCACCAGAAGCGTTGGAAAAACCTTCACTATCCCTTCTACCATGAAAATCATATGTAGGCTGGCTGTACTCATTATCAGTTTGTGAAGGTCTGAAATCTCTGAAATAAACTTCACAACGCTGGCCGACATTTAAATTTTCTGATGAACTAGCGCGAAATTTCCCGTTCAGTTTCGCATGCAGAAGCTGTTCGCTAACTTCTTTTCCTTGAAAACATTTATCGTATGTTTGCTGACAGTCACAAGCATTGTTGAATTGCAACATGTGCACGCCTGTAGATTGTGACAACACAGAACGACTTTGTACGAATTTGACTGACCTGGCCAAAGGAAATATCGTGTGCGCTTCTGTTTCGTCTGACAAGCTTGGTAGACTGTATACAGCCAAAGAAGTGACTTGACCAGACGAGTATACTTGTGTAAATAACGTAACTTCCAACATACAACAAATCATAAGTGTAGAACCATGATTATTAAACACCAACGACGTAATAGACACACTAAGAAAGTTTCAGAACATTTCTTTAATTGTGTTGGCAAGTGCGCACCTCCATGAATATGTATATATACATATACATATGCAATGAATAAACAGTAATTAAAAACGTTCTTTGATCACACGGATAAAATCACTATAATCTTTAATTCCTTGGAAAAAGTCGTACATTTACAAGATTCAGAACAAAATCAAACGATTAAAGATAACTATAGCAGGGTTTCATGGGATATAAAAATTCGATCTTCAAAATGTGTCGTTTGACATCATAACCATATAACTCAAACGTGAAAAAGGAGACAGAATTCAGTTAAAAATCGATTACGGATGCGTTCAAGGGACTTACAAAGCAGCACTGCAACGATGAAAATTGTGTGATGAGCCATTTGAACGCCTATGTTCATCCTGGTAATTTTGCCAAATACGAAAGTCTGCACAAGCCAGTACATGTCTTCTGGTGTAGCTAAACAAATCAATAACAGGCAATTCCGGTAACTATAAATGATAAAACGAATGGTTTATACTTTATTTGTTTTGGTCCTATGACAAAAAAACAAGGCTATCATTCCTTTCCTAATGTTGATAGACAAAAAATGATTAATTCTACGAGAAGTGATTTAAAAGTCAATTATGTTGTCGCTCTTACTACCGAAGAAGGTGAAGCGAAAATTGTGCCTTCACTTAAAAGGCTAAAAGGAAGTACCATCATGATAGCTCGTTGCAAAGGTGTAGTGGTAAATAAGTTCCCTAAATAAATAGTCCTGTAAATCTTCACTAATGCTGACCTAATTACTTTTAATTGACTCACCTAGCTGAAGACGTTCGGTCACGTATCCACATCAGATCACGAATGAGTACGCTGTAGTTCATTTTTCCTACAATTGCTAGTCAGCTTAGATTATTCACTTCTTGATATGTCTATATTCTATCAAATATATCATCGGGTCTCTTCGCTTCTGATTTCACATGGGTTGTCCCATTTCGATTATAAAAGGTGTTATTGGTTAAGGTGTTGTCAAAGTCCGGAGACTTGTGGGATCTTTAGTGGCGAGGCAGACGTGATCTGGTACACCAAACAATAAACTATGAGTCCATTCCTTTTTGAAACTTTATATATCATATATTGTGATTTCATATTTTTGGATACTTTTTCTCGTTCACTGCTATACTTTATATTCGCCATTACGAACAGACTCTTAAATTATTTAAGATCAGGACGCTTTCGTCTTCCGCATTTCAGCTAATTCCATTCTGATCCGATAATACAGAAGCCTGGTACCTCTACGCAAATACTGACCTCCACGTGCACATAGTGACAGACACACGTGCAAAGTTCCACACAGTGATGAAGGCACTGTCGAGCGAATTAACCTGGTACGCTATACCTAGTATGTTCACTAGCGATGTTTCGGAACCTTACGCCGTTTTGAGGAAGGCTATTCTTAAGCGCGGAGACCTAACCGACCGAAAATGGTTACACCATTTTTTTCACACCACCGGGCTGAAACATAGCTCAGCGGAAAACATGTTGCTACGAATGCAAGAGGTCATTCGTTACTGGATCTTTGATGAGGGCCTGCCCAGACGGCTCTTCTAAAATTCTCCAGTGAGTGCAAGCAGTGCTTGTCTTCTTTCGAAGCAACGCTGTTGACGAACTACCTGCATCTACTGACCGGATTTTAGAGATCAACAGAACCACCATTGCCGGGATTCATTCAGTCAAACAAAAGCCTGTAACAGCAGAAAACGACGTCACAGTCCTCTGTCACACTCTGGTCCGTTATCTTAGTATCCATCATACTCGTAGACACCCCCAAACCCGAAGGACTTCGACAAGGAGAAGGTCTGTCTCTAGACCACGAGTATCAGATATGTCGACGAACGTTCGCTATCTGGTTGACACGCGCATAATTAAGTGTTGTTCCTACAAATCGTAACGACCGACTGTACGAACCAGTTTTCAACTTACAAGTTGTAAATGAGAAACCGATAGCCATATACGGTAGGAGATATGTGTACTCTAACACGGGTTTACGCAAACTCATTTACTGGATCTTCGTTGCTACAGATGTTTCTATACCAATCAATGATAAAGACCTACCAAAACACCATAATCTCGTCAACATGTACAAGCGGAGGTTGTTAGAAGGAAATACTAAACTATCTGTTTGTGTAACTTGTCTCTCCGGTTGTAGATTATCTCTAGTCACAGCAAGGCACACGATCGATATATACTATCAACGGATACTCGGCAAATTATCGAACTGTTGCAAACGCGAACAAAATTACCGTGTATACGCAGTAATGTCATACATCACACCGCAACTACATGATCACCTGAATTTTCGAGAGCTCGCCCACTAGCTCTCGTAAACCCAAGGTTGATCAGCATCGAATTCCAGAACATGATAAACTTGGGAACTATCCCGCCGCCAAACAGCTCATTAGCGTCTATCAGTAACGGTTAGTGTCAGACTGGTGATTATCGGTGACTGGATACGAAAGCCACTCCTGATCGTTGACCGTCACCTTACATTCATGATTTGACAGCCACCTTAAAAGGCACGACTATTTTTGAGAAAATCGACTTGGTTAAAGCATATAGCCGAATTCCCATGTCTGCTGATGACATTCCTGAGAAGCCTATCGTCACCCCCTTCGGACCCAACGAATCTTTTTCATGCCTTTCGATTTAAGAAATGTTGCATAAGCTCCTAACAAATTTATCGATTATGTCTTCAGATGTCTCAGCTTCGTACACGCATACGTCGATCACTGCTTGATCGCAATTTCGGACAGAGAATCTCACCTCCAGCACCTGAGCCTTGCATTTAAACGACTCTCAAAGCACGAAATACTGTCAACATTCAGAAATGTCCGATCAGAGCTAACTACCTAGATTTTCTCCGAAATACCATTGATGCCCAAGGCACCCACCGTCTGAAAAGCCAAACTGCGGCCATTCTGGACTACCCTGAACCAACCACAGTCAAGCGGTTACGTACGTTTAACGGCCTGGTAAGTTTCCATCGACGGCTCATACTGAATTGCACGTCTATCATGAAACTCTTAACAGACCAACCTCATGGAACTGCGAAACGTGTAACAACTTGGGTTGATTAGTTAATGGTTGACCTCAAAGAACTAAGTACGTGTCAAAACAATAGAGCTCAAGTGTTCATTCACTTACTTGTTTTGTATTGAAGTTATTATTATTGTTATTCACAAACATCTTATAGGTACATAAATGTTATGAAGAAACCACATCGAGTTTCTTCAAAAATGAGATAATACAAAAGTTTCGGTAATATTAGCATTCATTTGACATATATGAAAAAAATGAAAAAACGAAAATAATGAGAATAGAACAGTAATAATAAATCAGGTTCTGTGTAAATGAGAAGAATTTTGAATTGACTTTAAAGAAGGAAAGGGAGGATAAAAGGGAAAAGAAATAAAGGAGACATGAAATCTGTGGACAGTTTAATATACGTGTTTATGAACACAGAACAAGAACTAACGACTATGCATGTATCGCCGAATTAGTAACAAAAATAAAATAAAAAATAATTAAGAAAAATAACTTGTTATTGCAGTAAGATATGACGTTCGAATAAGTGTTTGTGCAGCCATAGTTTGGAGTGATACCATGAAAGTCTCAACGATGTGCAAAAGAAAACCAAATATCAAAATGTATGACGCTTTTGTGTAAATCATTATTAAACACGCTGATATTCAATAGATGACACAATCCACTTTCAGAAAGAAAATCATCGAGGGAACTTCTGAACGGTGTTCTAGTTTCACTACAACGGAGGTTCACTGGCAGTCCTTTCCACATGGTTGAGTACCGAATAACGAAAAAAGTCTGGCGTACGTTTGTGTAGGTTCTTGGAATAGCTATAATATTTTTCTTATTGCGTGGATTGTGTGATGATATCATAAAGTATGGAAGGGTGGATACCGAAGAGTAGAAAATACCGTTATTAGGCCGGAAGATAAAGACAAGGTTTAATTTGATACATCTGATCTAGAGAGGTTTTAATTTGAGTTTTTGACACCTTTGTTGATATTCTTTGTTGTCGGAATACCCCGAAACAGCATTGGTAAACCTTCTTTCAACACCTTCAATTTTAGTCAGGTCATTATGATAGCAGTTACTGTAAACTAAAATACAATATTCAAAAATGGGTAAGATACATTTTCTGCATAATAATAATTTTGATTCGATATTATTGAAGTTTACCATTACGAATCCGATGAGCTTTCTAGCCTTGAATACTTGAGATGCTCAGAAAATTTCAGAATGTCGCTCTATCTTAAACCCAAGTCACAAACATTGTTGAGAGGTTTCAGTGTATGTTTGTGTATAGCTGGATTTAGGTTAGTGCATCGGCTAATGTGAATAAATCCAATTTTATCAACATTTAGTGGCAAATTCCACGAAACAGTCCATTCGTACAACTTGTTTATTTCTTCTTGGATTACCGCTGAAATATAGCTTTTTTGGTAGGAGAAGAAAATGAACAAACCACCTTTAGGTCATCGGTAGAACGGAAAGGTTTGCCAAATTGAAAGAGGAAACACACCCAACTGATGAAAAAGAGAAAGAGTAATGGACCAACCACACATCCTTGAATAACTCCACTGGTTACATTCACAAGCGGACGATTTGGCTACGTTCTTCCAAAAAACATTTCGGTCAAGATAAAAGGGGATTCTGTATTCCAAATGAAGACAGTTTAGAAGAGGACGCTTGTATGAGACACTATCGAAAGCCCCACTAAAATGGAGGTACAGAGTTATCAATGACTGACCAACATCTCTTCTCTGGGTAACTTGATCGAAAAATTCCGGTTGCAACGTGAAGCATAAGCGTTTAGACATAAACCTCTGTTGAGATGGGCTAATCAGACCAGCCGAAAGAAAAATGATAATAGTTGTTCGCAAATGATTTTTTCCATGATTCTTGATAGCAAATTAATGAGCCTATGGTTAACAATATCACTACGAGATCCCGTTTTGAATCTAGGGGTGTTAAGAGATGTTGTCCATACAGATGGATACGTCCTATATTACATAAATAGGTTGAGAAGCTTCAAACAAAATAGTGGAAGTTCTCTGCTACCATATTTCACAAATGACGAAGGAATCCCGTCGAGTCCGCTGTCATAAGCCATTTTCTAGGCAGCTGTGCTTACTTACTTACACCTGCTACTTCTTTATTTTAGCTCCGACTTGCTTTGCATAATTTGAACCCACTTCACCTTGTTAAACACTACAACTCATCGTTCTTTAATATGGCGTTCTTTTATGTGAAGGCTTTAACCGAATTTGACTTTAGCGACAATGGCTAGTGTGAGTTTGGTCCCTTAATTCATCACACTTTTAGTTGTTCCGTCGTAAACTGTTAAGTACTGTTTGAGAATTATATTGGAATGCCTTGTCG